ACTAGTGGTCTATGCGGTGTGATATGAGAAATTTACTTGCATTTTTTAAAATCTCGATTCATATTCTGAAATATTTGAAAAGATAAATATCCACTTACCCATTTCTTTTTATGTGTGCTTAAATTTTCTCAATATGGACGGAATAATGGGTCAGTAAATATGAAGAATCAAAACTCCATACAATATCTATGTGTTACTAGTGGCTTTTTTGCCTTTTTGTTCTTGAAATATGCGTTAAAAATCGTCGACTACTTTAACTGGACAAATGAACAAAAGGGGTAATTTTAATTCGTATACGATAAAATTTGTTAATTACTGACACAAGATTGCTCTAAAAATGTTCATGAATTACGTAAATTTATTAATCTGACATTCATTGATTCTGACCATTTGAAGTAACACATTATCATGATTATGCATATTTAATAAATTTTGTATTCGACTTAAAATATTTTGAGTGAACCCCTTGAAATACAGCTAGACTGAGCTAGTTCTTATTTTTGTACGTCAGTTTAGACTTGGCATTTTTGTTGAAGTTGTTACGGTTTCTTCTTCCGTAAAACCTACTTTTTTGCCCCCATTGAATGCAAAATCGTTAATGACGTCACAAACAGTAATGATTGATCCTGTTTTGAGAAAAAAAAATTGAGAACCGTGGACACATTTTGAACATACTACCAATCTAATTAAAATCAGACTTCTTAGATCCGCGCCGTATACACTCTTACGCAGAGTGTATACGGCGCGGATCTAAGAAGACTGATTTTAAGGTTTGACGACACGTTGCTCAATATCTGTTTTGTATCTCTCCGTAATATAAGTTAATCATAATTAGTATGCGTATTAAAGATATTAAGATATCAAAATAGGCAATATCTTCTATAAGCAGTGGCAATTGGCAGTAAACAGTGAGCAGTAAGCAGCTGGCAGTTGGCAGTAAGCAGTTGGCTGTCGTATGTGGAATTCCATAATAATTACCATTGTCTTGTGATTCTTAAACTGTTTTAAAAATGTCTAAATAAATTTTTGATATTGACAATGCTAGTGATTTCCAATAGGATTATGTAGTAAATAGCATCCTCTGGTATCTTGCACAAATGCCTGGTAAAGTACCTAATTTTTTTTGTGAGGAAACTTGTTTCAGTAGCAATACTTCAATGACAATTTTTTGGAAAAAATTATATTTCAATTAAAACCCAAATTTGTATGGGAAGATAATTCAGCTGAAAAATTTTGTGCTGTACTTGCAAGCACTGAAATAAGTAAGAGACTGAATAGGTTTGTGAATAATCAAATTATCGAAAGTACACAGAATTCTGTAGACAAGGCTTGTGCTGAATTGACAGATATTATTCTCTCTGCAGCTAAACAATCTTTGAAAGAAAAGAGAAATTTATCTAACAAAAAAACCCCACACACAATAAAAATAATAAACATTGGTTTGATAATGATTTAGTCAAAAAAAGAAATAATTTACTGGAATATGCAAAAATTCTTACTAAATACCCTAAGGACCCTATAGTAAGAGGACATTTCTTCAAACTTCGTAAAAATTATGCAAAACTCCGAAAATTTAAATATAAAGAGTTCAAAAACAGTATGCTTAATAAAATTGATGAATTACATGAAAATAGCCCAAAAATGTATTGGGAATTAATTAAAAAAATCTCAAAACAGAGTACAGATGACAAAGGTTCTTTAATATCCTATAGTGACTGGATACAGCATTTCAATATGTTAAACACTAGTGAAGCTTGTTTTAACTCGAGCATTGCTGCTTTGGAGGAACATGTTTCTAAACTAGAATCTAATATGTACTTCAATGAATTGGACTATAGAATCACTAAATCAGAAATTTCTGAGGCAATAAGCAAATTAAAGTATAATAAATCTCCAGGATTGGACAGAATATCTAATCATATGCTGAAATATGGACAAAGCTCACTCATTGATAGTCTGCAAAAATTATTCAATAGCTGTTTAGCTGGTGGTATTTATCCAAACCAATGGTCCGCTGGTATTATAACTGTACTTCAAAAATCTGGTGATGCACATGACCCAAATAATTATAGCGGGATAACCATAACTAGTGCAGTAGGAAAATTAATGAATAGTATTCTCAACAATAGATTAGACAAATTTCTTGAGAAACATCAAATAATTAATGAATGTCAGATTGGTTTTACAAAAATGGCAAGGACATCAGATTATATGTTCATTCTTAGAAACATAATTGAAACTTACTGTCAGAACAGAGATGGTCACTTATACACATGCTTTATAGATTTTAGAAAAGCGTTTGACACTGTAATTCACTCAGGTATAAAATATAAATTGCTTAAGTTGTGTGTTGGAACAAATTTTTATATGCTTATTAAAAGTATGTACAATAATAGCAAGTCATGCATTAAAATAAAAAAATCACCACACAGATTTTTTCACAATAAAACTTGGTGTAAAACAAGGTGACAATCTCAGTCCCAATTTGTTTAAGATATTTATGAATGATTTACCAGAGTATCTTAAAGATGCAAATGACACAATAATAGTGAATGGTAAAAAAGTACATTGTCTAATGTATGCAGATGATGTAATATTACTGTCACATTCAACAACTGGCTTACAAAGTAATCTTGATAAATTACAAAAATTCTGTTCTGATTGGTGTTTAAAAGTTAATACTAATAAAAGTAAGGTTTTAATCTTCAATAAAGCGGGAAGAACTCTTAAACATAATTTTATTTTTGAAAGTAAAGAAATAGAATGTGTGTCTTCTTATAGGTATTTAGGAATATATTTTAATGCAGCTGGAAATTTCTCTAGTGCTCAAGATGATTTGTACAAAAAGGCAATGAAAGCATACTTTAAATTGCAGAAAGACTTTTTATCATTACAACCAAGCATTAGAACATCTCTTCATGACTTTGATCACACTATCAAACCAATATTACTCTATGGCAGTGAGATTTGGGGAATCTTAAATCGCCCATCTTTGTTTAACCGCAACACAATATCTTTGCATGATTTTTACTCCAAACTAAAGTGTGAAAATCCCCATATGAAATTTTGTAAATTTATCTTAGGTCTTCATAGAAAGTGCTCAAATTTTGCAACTTTGTCAGAACTTGGTAGATTTCCATTACACCTTGATGTTGTAAAAAATATAATGAACTATGTGAATAGACTAGAAAATCTTGGGACTTCTTTCCCATTATTGAATGCAGCATACCTTCAAAGTAAGCTTAATGCTAATACATGTAAATCGCAGTCATGGTATGGTATACTATGTAAATTTCTTCAAATTGCTGGGTTAAACCATATTATTACCATAAATAAACCCTTTTATTATATGATTGAATAATTTCCCTCTTTCTGATTGGCTGAGATCCAACAATGTTAGAAAAATACTACGTTATATTGACCTACACGTGACCTTCCAGGTCAATATAAGGAATTATTGCAGGTCAATATAATGAATTATTCCTGTTCCATTTTTTCATGTTACAATGTGTTCTTCTTGATATTTCTCGTAAAAACTTACAATTAAAGCAAAAAAAAAAAAAAAAAAAAAAAAAAAAAAAAAAAAAAAAAAACAGTCTTGTAGGAGTTTGCTATCATTTAATCATATAATAAAACAGTTATTGCTGTTTTTTGAGGTCAATACGATGATTTAGACACCTTCGAAGTACAATATTCACCTCGCCCTTCGGGCTCGGTGAATATTGTACTCCTCAGGTGTCTAAATCATCGTATTGACCTCAAAAAACAGCAATAATTGTATAATATTTCAAGAAAAAATGCAAAGAATTATTATATAATCATTACACAAATGAATGGTACAATATGAGAAATTTACAAAAAGCAAAACTTGAAACTTACATAAAATTTAAAACTAATTTGGTTTTTGAAAATTACCTAGCACTGTTATCACCTGAACAACGCAAAGTACTTACAAGGTTGCGGACATCAGCACATAATTTACCAATAGAATGAGGTCGTTACTTAGGGATTCCCAGACAACTAAGAATTTGTACAAATTGTTCTTCTCACCAAGTTGAAGATGAAATTCATTTACTCTTCGAATGCCCAAAATATAATTTACTTAGGCAAAATATGTATGAAAGTATACAACAACATTGTAAACAAATTTTACTTCTTGATAACATGAACAAATTAATATGGACATTGAATTGAGAAAATTATGATGTTCTTAAATCCCTTTGTGAATTGATCAAGGGAGAAATATAATGTGTCTTCTACATGTATATAGAATTTAAAAATTGTATACTTTTAACACTCAATAAATGTTAGTTTGGTCATAAGATATGCAAACATGGTGACTTATAAAGTACCAATGCACTGTCCCGTGGTATCTTTTGCAATTTAGTGGAATATATCTATTCAGTTTATATTTTTGTATATGTATATCTCTGGCTTTTTTGCATTATGGTACACGGTGGTACTTGCTTATACTTTACAATGTGTATTTCAAATTGTACATGTTAGCAATTATCTCAACTTATGAACCATGAGTAAATTGACTAAGTATATGTATTAAGAAAATGCTGAATATTACTATTATCAAATTTTGTGAATAATTATTATATTTATATGTTCTGTTTAATAATCATGTATGTAATATGCTCAAAAGGGCCCCGATTTGGAATAATAAATAAATACAAAAAATATATTATTGAGGAACGTGTCGTCTGGCCGTTCAAACATTCTACCCCAACAAAAATGCGCGATCCCAGCTTAAAATACATGTACATGTATCTTATTTGTGGCTGTTGATATTTTGCATTAAAATGTGACACCAACATCGATGGCGCTCAACATTAACGCAGTGATTAGTAAAATGTATGAAATGAAGATTTTTATATTTAAACATTGAAAGTCACTTTCTGTACCCAGCGTCCCCACCACACCTCTGTTGGATGATACATGTACAATCGTTATTGGGACAATAATATCGGGTTCAACATTCTTGAACTGCAGACCGGAAGCACATGTAAACAAAGAAAGTTGTTTACATTTATTACAAAAATAATCTGACTCGGAAAGTGCTCAAAATGGGTAAAATTCTTTATATTTTTAATGCAAAATAATGTTGCAAAATTATGTTAATTAGTTTCTTTGAAAATATCAATATGAACATAAAGATTTTAACCATCAGTATGTAAAGCTAAGGAAATTAAATTTGGTTAGATCATGATTCGGGCCTAGCTGCAGAACTGTACACTGCTGTATACGTAACGTTATGGTTTTATATATTAGTCTTTGAACATAACGCTACAGATCCCGTAATGCAAATATGGTGCAATTTACGGCGCAAGATCTGCGCACGGTTGGGGAGAATTTCTCCACTTTCCAGCATTGGTCAACCAACTACCTTTCACTCCCTAATTCTAGACATTTTTTTTTAAACCAAACTGTATTTTTTAATCCTTTATATTTGTCCCTACAGACCAATCAACTCACTTGTTTTGAATTCTGTCGGATGGTAGAAAATTTAAAGCAAGGGAGTTAATTGATCTGTAGAGACAAATATGTGTCTAAAATTAGGGAGTGAATGGTAGTTGATTGACCAATGCTGGAAAGTGGAGAAATTCTCCTCAACCATGCGCAAAAATCTTGCGCCGTAAATTGCACCTTATTTGCATTAAGGGATCTGTAGTGTTGTGGTTAAAGACTAATATATAAAACCATAATGCTACAGTTCTGCTGGTAGATCATGATCAGTGTTGTGAAACAGAAGTGTGTTAATAAACTTTCATTAATTGTGGACAAGAAAAGAAACTGTGGATATGAAAAGAAAAGAATCTGTGGATATGAAATTTATTAAACACAGCTTCTAAAAATACTATTTCTAAGAGTTTGTTTGTATTCATGACATTAAGCTGTCCATATTTTTTTTTTGTCCAGTTGTCTACACATTCAACTGTACCCCCTCCCTCCCTCCCCCCCCCCCCCCTACAGAAAAAAAAAGATTTAGAATGGCAATGCATTGATTAATTTGTTATAAGTATACATGTATTGCATTATCCTGATCTAAAATCTAAAATCTTTTCCAAAAGAAGAAAGAAGCACTTTATTAAAATGAAAATAAACTTATAGAATAATTCATAAAAACTTATTTTCACCAGAGAAATACTCTAGTAAAATATGAGATTTTCCAAAGGTTGCTTACCTTAGTATAAGATGACGAGCAAACACACAGGTCTACATGATGAATAAACACAGGTACATACAACACATTTAACAGAACAGGTAAACGTGGTGAATAGGTTGACTGGTAGGACTCGACTAGTGTGGGAATAGGCCAGCACGGGTGGGTATGAAGTCAGGGTGTAAGGTCACAGTGATTATATTTACATATGCCATTTGACTACAATACATAACATTCATGACATGTCTGGAAATGACACACTATCTATCTTATGTCACGCTAAATACTCGTACATTTTTGTTAAAGATCTAAGTCTCCAAAAATTTAAGAATCTTTTTTCAGGTAATAACTGTTTATAACAAAAAATATCATTAATGTACATGTATACAGCACAGGAAGCATTGAATCACAGAGAAGAAATGGAAGAAGAAGATGTAGATGACAGGGATGACAGTATGGAAGAAGAAGATGTGTCAGAAGAAGATCCAGAGGAAGACAAGCAGGGATCATTGGCTAAGGCAGCCATCACGGGAAGAAGTGTCACATTACAGATGTTAATTTCAGAGAAAATCATAGATCCAGGCCCTGCTCTTCTTTCCTTGAAGTACCTGGTAAAGGAACACAAAGTTATAGTGAGGCAGAGGCTGCAGAGCAGCAATATGAATATATATGCATATCTAAACTCTGAGATTTTTTAAAACAATGAATATGCTTGCTAAATTTAAGGTAATAAATATATTGATTATTGCCTGAATTTTGTAGGTAACATTTTACTCAACTATTTCAGGGACGTAGATTCATTGCTGACTTGCTTCCAGATGGCAGAATCCAGATGCCTGGAACCAAGGAGACCTTCACCTCACCAAGTGCCTGGGCAATTCACTGCAAGAAACAAGTTAATCCTCATAAGAAATCAGGATGTGGATGGGCTTCTGTAAGCACTACACAACATCAAGCTGTGAATGGATAATGAAAACTTAAGAGGGTTCATATTGATTATTTTTTGAAAGAATTGAATTCATTTGTGTTCAGTAGACAACAAAAAGATCCAGCAGTGGGTCCTGATAAATTCATGGCATGTTAAAATATGTTGTGAAGTACACTGAATAGTGATTTTTTCACAGTGTTAAGTTTCAGTGAAGAGCCTAATATTACAAACCTTTTTTATGTCAGCATGAGAAATGTGAGACAATTGAAGTAAAAAGCCAAGTCTTTTTTTTATACTTTATACAAGCCTAGCTCATATATTTCATGGAAGACATTTAAAGAATATCTTGGAGTTTGTTAAGTGTTGTTCTGCAGCTAATACCAGTTATCTCTCTTACATTAAATTCCCTCATGTAGGTTTTATACAAGGAGAGAAAGCTTGACATTTGGAAGGCAGCTTGGTTTCGTAAGCATAGAACATCCAGTCCTGCCCGCAATAATATTGACTCTTCAAGTTCTCAGGTTCCACTCCACTGAGTTTGTCTTTTGTTGAAATGCCTAAAATTTTGCTGGTTGTCATAATAATGAAAATAGTGATAAGTATATCTAATCCAATTACATATAAAGTAAACACTAAATCATGAAAGTTTGTTTAAATTAGATTATTTGTAAAGATGTTTAATTCCCCACAGTCACCAAGGTCTCCTTGGAATTCTCGTGAGGACATAAATGATTCACGACCAGAGGCTCAGACTAATGGAAAGCTGGCAGTGTCACGATTGGCTGATGACAGACAGACAGAGGACTGTCAATCATTGCTAATGCCCCGCCCTGCTCACACCAGTACACCTAATCAAAATGGAAAATCTGAATCCAAAAGGTAATAGATGAAACTCAAATCAGTTGTTAGTTCACCTGCACCACAGGTTCAAGTGAGCTTTTCTGATAAAAAAAATGCTTGCAGTCAAGACATGTGAAGTCTTATCGATATGCAAGTGTCCTCATGCAGTGTAATTCAGTTTTGTTCAAACCATGACCCTTGGGCAAGGGTGGGGCCACAACAGAAGATCAAAGTTTTAAGGCTATAGCTTGTCAACTTGACTTCAAGCCTTTATATATATCATTAAAATTTGCTGGAATCATGGAATTGCATAAATTGATGGCTACATTTTTGTGTATACATACATACAGCCAAACCTTGCTATCTCAAACTCAACGAGAACAAGAAAAAAATTTTGAGATATTGAGGATACGAGATACCCAAGGTAAAATACTTAAAGGATAAAGGGTTGAGACTTTCAAATCACTTCTACATATCCATGGTATTTGAGATATCAGTTTTTGAGGTATTTAAACTCAACTGTATATGTCAGAAAGGTACATGTTGTGGCCCCTGGGCCTTTTGTTATTGGCATGATTGTATTAAATTGAAACTAGAATTTTAAATTCAACTTTCAGATCTTAAGACAGAAAAATGATAAAATTTTATGTGAAAGTGTTGGTTTTCATTCTTTAATGTAAATTATTTCATTAAATTTTATATCAATTTATAATTTTTTTTTTTTTAGAATGAAAGAAAATTTGGGTATTAGAATTCAAGAAGAGGGTGAGTTCTTAAAAAAACATTTTGATTTTATGTTAATGAAATGTTGATTATATATTTTGTACAACATTACATGTACATTATTATCATGTATTATTTAGCAAGTTTCAACAGTCCTTGTTAATGTATGTACACTATTTTATGTTACACTGGTATGGTGTTATCATTGGGATTGATTGTTAATGTACATGTATATCCCTTCATTAGCTACTTTTTCATGATTTTGTGCATCGAATATGAAATCTGTGATGAACTGAATAGAAAAATGGATCATAAAAAAATTACAGTTATCTCAAACTCCATGGGATCAAGGAAAAAATTCTGTTTATGAGAGTAATCATAATATTGAGGGTTAAAATAACTTAAAAAAAGGTGGTTGGGACTTCCAACGCACTTCAACATATTCATGATACTGGAGATATCGATGTTCAAGCTGCGGAAGTACAACTGTCATGTGTAATTGAAATGTTAAATGATAAAAGAATGTATTAGAATTTTTAAATTTCATGAATCGTAAGTATTGACATACAGTACACACCTGACAACATGAAGATCAAACAATAATTATTGCATGAATATGGTCAGTTTATAAAAAATGATCTGTAGGTTTTGCTTAGAATGTGTGAAATTTTAGAAATATAAAGTTTTTTCATGGAATAACAGGTTAACATGCAATGCCTTTAAACAATTTTAATAGAAAATTCTGTATCTTGGTTGTACTCTAATGTATATTTAGCAATAAAGGGAAAGTGATTTAACTTGGCATCATATGGTACTCTTAAATCCTCCAATACTAAAGAAATAAGGAACATTGCTTTATTTATAATTCATGTTTTAAACAAATTGATTGATTTATTTGATTTTTTTTCAGCATTAAATTTATCCCTCAAGGCACCAAAGTCACCTCCTAGAAAAGAATCGCATACTTATTCTGAGTCTGAGTCCTTTACCGAGAAGAACAACAACCACAGTGAGAGAAAATGTATTAGGCACGCAGCTCTCAAATCCCGCAGCCAAAACATGTAAGAAAATGTATTAGGCATGTATCTCTCAAATCCCACACTGTCATGGTAGCTCTGTTGGTAGAGCGCTCTCTCCATGATTGGAAGGTCGTGAGTTCATATCTCGGCCCCGACTGACCTAAGTCAATAAAAAATAGGAAGCAACTGTTCCTTCAAGAAGTATTCAGCACTTTGAAGTGAAAGTTGCGGGTCCTTTGCATGAGACCTTATAAACCTAGGCCCCGTGTCACGGCAGGCGTTGGCACGATAAAGATCCCTCACTGCTCAGTTGCCATGAATGCCGAGTAAAAGTCTAAATTTTAAGCCCTTCATCGGTATATGATGATGTCTCTATATGAGTGAAAAATTCTCAAATGGGACGTAAAACAACATAAATCAATCTCAGATCCCGGAGCCAAAACATGCAAGAAATCAAAACATGTAAGAAAATAAATGTGTTAGGCATGCATTTCTCAGATCCAGCAGCCAAAAAATGTAAGAAAATATACATATTTCTTGTATCTTTATTTTTGCAACGTATCCAAAGTGAGGTTTTTCAGAAGTTTGTTTTACTTTGTTTTTATATCTGCTTTAACTTTTGTCTGCTGTCGGTTAAGCAATCTTAGATGATGTATTTTGCACATGATAGTGAATAATTTAATTTCATTTAGAAGAAGTCTTGAGAAAGGTTAGTGCTCTGCACTTATGGAGTCGCCAACTGTAAAGTGGTTTTGTTATTTAAGTACTCATTAAGAGGGCTGGGTGGTTGTGGCCATTTTCAGACTATATTGATCTCCTTTAGAAGAAGAGCTCCATATAAAGATATACAAAAATGATCAAATTTTAAAACTTAAATGTATGAAATTTTTCTTTGCCAAATGATAGTTGACAGCTTAAGATATCATATCTAAAAAATTAAGTTATATCTGATGGTTAATTTGTTGACCCCCCAGCCTCCTTTTTAAAGTGATTTGAATTTTGACCTGGTTTATGCACATTGTAAATCTTTCCATTTTATTTGAATTCTCACAAGAACTAGTGAAAGTTTTACACATTTTGGTTAGTGAACAGATTGATCATGTAATACATGCGTTATTTTTTGATCATGTAATACATGTATTATTTTGGTCATTTTGATGTCAGAGACTCATTTTTTCCATGAATTACCAATGTTGAATTAACACCTTATCGTGGAAGTATTTTAATTCATGGGGACCAGTTATTGTGAACTAGCTGTTATGAAATCATGGAGATGTACTGAATAAATATATTTTCATTGGAGAGGGTTAAATTGTTCATGAAAGATAAATATAATAGATCAGTATTCATTTAGTTCGTAAAATCATGACTAATATAAAAATTGAGCCACAACATTTATATAGATTCCAAGATAAATTTCTGTGTGGAAAACATATCAGCTGCTTTGTTGTTTTTTTTAATGTCAGTGACCCCCATACCCTTGTGGAATGTGAGTCTTTTAAGGAACTGGACAAAATCCAACCTTTTACAGTGTCCATAGCCAGTAATGCACTTCTTCTAATGGTAATTCACCAATTAAATTGTACTTAATTAAAAATTTCAAATATTTTAAAACATTTTATTAAAGTAAACTGTTCTTGTTGTTAATATACATGTATATACAGTTGAACTTCAGAATCTCAAACACTGATATCTCAAATACCATGAATATGTCAAAGTGAACGGGAAGTCCCAACCACTTATTCTTTAAGAAATTAACCCTTGATATCTCATATACACAGATATCTCATTTTTCGGTCCCATCTAGTTTGAGAAAACAAGGTTTGACTGTAATATATATATATTGTTTTATATTGTACGTAACTTATAAAACTTGTAATTTTTGGCTAAATTACAAGTTTATATACCTTTGTTTTTTTTTTTCATCTGGCAAAGCAATTAAGAAATACACTTTTAATTAGCAACTCACAATATTTGTAACTGTAGGACTTCCATTGTCACCTGACTTCCAGTGAAGTGGTGGGGTACCTCGGGGGAAAATGGAACCAGAATACACAACGTAAGCATAAAACAAAAACAAGAGTAATAAAAAACTGCTTCAGGTCTCTAAATATTTGTGAAGAAGAAAATCCTTATATAAACAAAAGGATATTTTTAACCTGTAAGTTTATTTTTTATAAGTCTGTCTAATTTTAATATTTACCTGCTAAGAATAAGAATAAAAGTACAAAAAAGCAAATTCAAAGAACTGTGGTCTCCCACTTGGTTTGGATGCAATGATCTATGGCAAATTGTAATTGTCTGTCTGTCCTGTTTTGTCTGTTCATCATATACTTTTTTATATTTTGAAGTACACATATAAGTTAAATTTTTTGTACACATATAAGTTATATTTTTTGTGAATTTTGAACACATTGCCCACATTGAAATACATATATACACATGTATATACACTGTTCCTAGCTGAAATAATGTGGGCTTGCCTGATTTTTATGATGTTGCAGGCTTTGAGGTAATTAGATCATGCGGTCAATTCATAGTACATTCAGAAAGGTCTTGTCACAGATAATGCACATGTGAAAAATATGAAAACCTTGGGTCTTCTGGTGCAAAAGCTATGGCCAAGGTTAAAATTTTGAGAAGTAGGCCAAACTTCAAGGTCATGAGGACAAAAATCACAGTACACTGGGAAAGGTCTTGTCACGGGAACTACACATGTACTACACTGTTTCTTCAGGTGCAAAAGCTGTGGCCAAGTTAAAAATTGTTGAAAAGTTGGGCAAACTTGAAGGTCAAAATGATGAGGTCAAAATTCATAAAATATTTGGAAGAGTTTTGTCACAGATAATGAACATGTTAAATATGAAAAACCTTTCTTCCCTCATTCAAAAATTATGACTTCATGTTATGTTAAAGTTTTTGTGACAGAGGGAATGACAGATAGAACTTCAAAGTCAAGATCATAAATCATAGTACATCTGGAAAGGTCTTGTCACTTGTAAAATTGAAATCCACATCTCCTAGCTGTAATTCATAAGTTATGTCCAAGGTTAAAGATTTACAAAAGTTGGGGACAATAAATAATAAACAATCTTATATGTCTCTCATATACATTGACATTTTTATGTGTTTTATAGATTTGACCATTGTTAATGCGTTTCCCTGTAAATGTAGACTTGCAGACAGCAAAAAGGCACCCCTTGTAGAAGAAGAGGTGAGCTTCTTTTGAATTGTATAATTTAGCATATTTTTTTTAACAATATAGCACATTTGTTGTTAAATAAGAGATTTTGACTGTAATATCCCTGTGATTGTACAGATCCGACAGTCTATGAATGAGCTGGGTCTGATTTTGGTGGGATGGTATCACAGTCATCCTTTCTCAGAAGCTCAGCCCTCAGTAAAGGACATTGACTGTCAGATGTCCTACCAGCTTTGTATGAAAGGATCAGGATCTAATTACTTCCCATGTGTAGGAGTCATCATAGGTAATCACAGTCGGTATTCCATTTCTGATGAATCCTACCTCAACAAATTAGATTTTTTTTTTCAAATCTCTGACATTTCTTTTGAGAAATTGAGTAATTTTACTGCAAGGTTTCCTTCTGATAGGCAGGTACTGCAATTTATTTTGAAATGACAACAATTAAGGTAGTTTATTATATTATTTTCAGCTCCATATAACAGACAGAGAACAAAGAAGGAATCTGCTTGCCGAATGTACATGGTCATGCCACCTCTGGATGTAAGAATTTAAAAAAAGAAATGAATTTTAATTGATGATATTTAATAGAAATGTTGTTGATTTAAATGAAAAGTTCTTTTTGTAGGAGCAGCCCTCAGATTATGGTATACCTATGATTGTCAAATTCTCCCTACAGAAGAATCTGTCTGTGACAGAAGAACTACTTAGTGAAATGGTAAGTATTTTTTATGACATTCGAAATGGTGAAAGTCTCAGTGATTTATTATTGTATTAATGCACAGGAAAACACTTATCTAATTTTGTTCAGAAATGGTTGTCTATAATTACATAAGTTTTTGCATGGTCAGGTATTTATTGAAGAATACATCAAAAATTTTGAAGGAGTTTTATGCTTAAATATTTTTAATAACGAATGTTTACTGAAATTTAACTGTTAAATATTAAGTGTTATGAAATAAATATTCATGTAATGGTGAGGTCAATATACCACTGCTTCCATTGCTGGAGAAAAAACATCTTTTGGACAAAGATATATTTCTAGATTATTGTGCTTAATATTAGTGAGCATTTAAAGCCTAGTTAAGCTAATTGTAATTTAAGTATACAATCAAGTAAATTTTTTTCATTAAAAACTGCAACAATTTACTGCTATATATTTTTTAAGAAAACTGTGACAGATTTTTATCGGAGTGCCCCAGATTGGCTGAAATTCAGACAGTGCTGGCAGCCGACCATAACATACCTGGACAAATTGAAGGTCAGTCTTGGTACCAAAGAAACTAGGTGTAGATGCTAGTACCTACTGCCTAAGATCAGGCTATCTTTAAAAAATTGTTTGTTTGCTCTCTCCCAACTGACTGGCTTAAAAATGACTGACTCAAAACTGTTTTATTTTCCAGGAAACAGTATATATTTCTTTCTTTTTGTTCTCTGTTAAAGGACTTATCGCATGATTTTTCAAAAATCTTAATTTTATGAAAAATATTATCTACAACCTTGTTTATTAAAATTCTGAATACAATAAACGTTGTTGAAAGTATATTTTAAGAGATATTGAGAGTTGAAATTCAAATACGGCAATATGCATATTTCAGTCGGATTTCGGCGAAATACTGCTCTGACGTCATAGGCGACAATTCAGTGATAGAGAGATGAGGAGTTGCACACTATTTACGAAGTTATCAACGACAAATGCAGCTTAATTATGAAAAATGCTGATAAAATTAATTCCTAACGTGATTTTCAATTACTATAGAAACATTAACTAGTTCTAAGGTATAAGAATTTTGAGATATTTTCGTTTTTTATTCCAAACATTTAGAATCTGTAGGTCTGATTACGGCAATGTTTCGTGATCGGAAAATTATTTTCAAGACCGCCATCCTTTACAAAACATATGAAAGCATACTTGCAAAAATTAATATTATGTTAAAAAGGAAGAATAACAGAGTTATGTAATATTAAATGTGTGAATCAAATAAGTTAATACATGTGATAAAATGACAAATCAAATTGTATTGCGATGGCGAGTTTCTTCATCTTCGCCGTGTCTCCCTCGCTATCGTCGCTGCTATTTTTACAATGTTAACGGATTTTTCAGATTATTTCTTGCTGACAATTCTAAAATATAAGGTTGGACATTAAATTTCATATCGATAAAATCAGTGATTTGGTCGTCCATAACGCAGAAAATTCAGGTTGTATCGCGTATATTTTTGTAAGATTTACGTGAAGAGCTGATCAGCCATTGTCGCCTTTGACGTCACAGGGTCACATGATCGCTATCTAATTAACTTAGATTTTTAATTCAGAGGTTTTCATTTGAGTCAATAATTGGTTAATTACTGCGGTTTATCCACAGTAAAAACACAAAATTTATAAACTGTGGTCATAAGGAACGTTTTAAGCTTTTAATTTCAAATAATTTAGAAACATGCGATAAGTCCTTTAATATGTTTGTTCAAATTTCCTTGGGAAAAAATTTTCCCACCTACTTACCAACCAAATTTTTTAACCCTGAGCTGGGAGAGGGCAAACAAACATTATTTTAAAGATGGCTTCAGTGTTAGCCTCATTTCCAAAGTACTACATGTATGATCATAAACACTTACTGCCTGAATTCAATCATAGTACCAATGTAGTACAATCATTAACACATACTATCTGAACTCAAAGTCAATCACATTACCAAAGTAGTACAATTATAAACAATACCTGAGTTCAAGATCAGTCACATTTACAAAGTACTGCAATCATTTGCATGCACTGCCTGAGGTCAAGGTCAGTCCCAAAGCGAAATTCAAGGCAGTTGTACTGTAAACGTATCGTTATCACATTTGTATCACATTTGTATTCTTTTTAGTGCCTTTTGCGGAAAGAATTTTTCGCAAATTGAAGTACAATGCTAAATGTCTTGCACATATATACTGTATACAGGGTTATTTTCGCCCTTTTGCACTCGCGCCCAATTTTGCCCCGTTTTAAATTTGCCCAGTCACAGTTCTGTTTAAGAAATTATGCTGTGTTCTTTGAATTTGCCCCATTTTAAATTCGCCTACCTGTGATTAGGGCAAAAAGGGTGAAAATAAAACGGGGCGAAAATTTCCATGTATACAGTACATAAATAAGAATATTAAGAAATGTGTTAAATCAAATCTGCGCTGACTTGTTCAAAAATCAATTTCCACCAAAAATCCTACATGCTAAATATAATACATTTACAGTATTACTAAACACATACTACATTCACCTATATATGTCTTAATAAAGGACAGTTACATTAAAAATGTACTGGTAGAATGCTAAATATGACATACCTGGTTGAATTGAAGTCTATTCACATCACCTACATTGTAAGTAGGTGTATTACCACATATTAAACAAATTAAAGGTCAATCCACTCAAAAATGTACTTACTGACTATTAGATACATGGATACCTACACATATTAATAACAATAAGACAGTAGATAAAATAAGCCAAAAAGATTTAGATGATATGTAGCATTAATTTTCACACACTTTCTACAGTATGTTAGTAATAACCTATTTTATGATTTCATTATTTATCTATCTTTTTCCCCTCAAAAATCATGACAATTGTATCAGTTATCAATTAATAGAAGAACCTGGATTTTGTTAGAATTTGTTTCTAAGTCTTTCATGTAAGTGTGAGCATATACAGTGAAACTTGTCTAATCCGGATGTTGTGGACTCAAGAATCTTGCCTAATACAATGTAATCTGTAAGTCCCTATTGATAAATTCAGTTGTTTCATGTTGTGTAATTCTGAGTGTTGTCCAATCCGGGCAATTTCTATGGAACCAGTGGGGTCCAGATTAAACAAGTTTTACTGTAATAGAATATGTTGAAATCAAAAATATGAATGGAAAAGACAGAAAAAGTTCACTGCATTCCTTAACACAACTGTCAAAATAATTTAAAATTAAAAGGGAAATTACTTTCATTGATGACAAAGCTAATGGCTGGTATATATAAACTGTGTATATTTTGAGAGTGCCAAATGGTTCTTTTTCAAGTTTCTTTCTTTTTCTTTCAAGTTTGAATGATTTCATGGATTTAAAAAAGCTAAAAATAAGCATAAGGTCACTGCATATAGAACTTAAGCAATTTTTTTTGTTGCCAGATAATTGCTGATTTTGTCAGATCAGGCTGTGTGAAATGTCTACATCCTGTCACAGAAATAATTATTCCATGCTTATGCATGAAGCTTTACCCAATTTTTTTTAATTTTGTACATAAGATCAAAGAATATTTATTAATTCATGTTAACCACACGATTCTAGCAGCACTTTCCAAGGACTATAGAACGTAAGCTCTCTATATCAACAAAAATTATGTTTCAATTTAAGTATGCATATGCAGTGTTGAACTTTTGCATCTTTGTTGTTAAGAAGGACAGAGAAAAGGCTGATTGGGAGTACAAAACACTGTCTGTCTTCATTATAAGAAAAAAAAAATGATAAAAAAAAATTAGAATACCTGATTCATAAAATTAATTCCTTATGAATTACACGTGATATTCACTGTATATGCTTTTTAATGCCCATTTTATATATTTGTTTTCATGAATTCTTGTTCTGTTTCATTCAGCAAATATTTGATCAACAGTTATGTCTTCATGAGTTAGGAATTTAATACCCGTGACAAATTCTTCGTTGTTTATTTAATGTACTATCCAAAAATGAAATTTACAAGATGTATAGTTTTGCATGTTTCCATTTATTTCTTGGACTTGAAATTAAACTTTGAATATAAATATTAAGAAATCTTTATCTCTAAAGTTCACTACATATAGCTTACTATGAAGTCATATTGTAAAGGCAAGTTAGAATATCTGGGTGTATAGCCTTAACATACCTGCAAACAGAGAATCAAAACTAGTGTAAAAACAATGCCCTAAAAATTGGTATGAAACATGTCAGTCAAAATACAACCCAACAATAGATTATAATTGAAAACAAGATCATTATATCGACCATAGAATTTGCAATATGCTGACTTTAAATGAGATTGTAAAAAGCCCTATAATGTCAACTTATTTGTAAGCCTCTGTTTAAAAATTGATCATACTCAGAACATTTTATTACATATTCAATCAGTTGAGTAGGTTTCTCGCAGCACTTTTCAGGTCCAGAAATGTTTTTACATAATTATTTTTATGAACAGAAATAAAATATCCCTGGGGTAGTGTTGAACTTTTCACTTTTCATTAAGGCATATTTTTCTATTTATAGACGTCACATTATGACTTCATAGCGGAGTGTTTCTGTTAGCCTATAAAGACTCATTGGCGTCTATACAATGGATAATGATAGTAAATTTTTATCTGTGGCATTTTTGATTTATCAATGTTACCTTTTGCAAAAAAAGTGTAAATTTGCCAAATAATGATCTGGGTGCTGCCTTAACATACCTGCATTTACCAGACCAATACAGATAGCTCACAGCAGGTGTGACCAGTCAACAGGGAATGCATATTCCTCCTCACTGTTTATTATCTACACAGTTTTCATACATGCTAATAGACAGCCTGATGTCTTGACCCAGTCTCTGATTGTAGTTACCTCTCCTTCAGAGTACTGTTCAAGTCCATGTCTATGTGACATTTTAAGATCACTGTAGATATTGTGGCTTTAGATTTCAAAGAAACTGCATGTGTGTATGTTTTTTTCCCTAGGGTTCCCTTGCCACAAAACTGCCTGAAGATCAGATGGAGAATGGAACTTTCCTGGAATTTGTTCAACATTTGATTCTGTCAAAATGAATGCTTTCAAAGCAGTACAAAATAAGCACTAAACCCACCAAAGTTCACATGGTGTTTTGTTAGGTAGTTAGCAAAACTACTTGACACAAGCATCAGAATTTGAATCATTAATGAACAAACATATAGCAGCTAATTAAACTGTGCCTAATGTGTTAGTAAGTAGGTTTAACTGGTGCTGTTTGGTTTATGTGTATGGAGTATTTCTCTGGGTGTTCCAGTTTATGTCTGTTAATGATGAGATTCAGTATGTCTTCCCATTTTTAAGAACATTATGTACAGAGTTATTTGATAAATTTTGTATGCCTTACAGATAGTTAGAGCATTATTACTAGATTCATGCACTGTGTTAAAAATGTTACAGTACTTTGTTTATATGTTCACTAGTTACTTTGTATTTTCAACAGTTATTTTGTTTATATCAAGTGCATACATGTATAGTTGTATGTGTATTTCTATCATCTAAAGGTTGTACATGTGCATAAAGATGTTGTGCATAAAAACAGGACTGAAAACGAAAGCATATTTTATGTTTTAAGAATATATCAAATATTCCATAGAAAATTGACAATTTTCATTCAAACAAACAAGAATATAGAAAACCTTTTTTAACCAAAGGGGTTTCCTGACTCTTTTGTGTAATGATGCAAGCAAAGTTGTGTTTAAGATACATGTAGAAGCATTATGAATTATACATGCATATCTAGGCAGCAGTTTTTAGAATTGTATTCATTAATTAACACTATGCACAAGTAAATCAGGTGACTTATTTACATGTTAAAGTTATTTTTTACAATGTAATTCAATGTTTACACAGGTTTTTTTCTGTATCATAATTCATCCATTTGCTGTACAGTGTACTAAATAAATATGCACCCATCATCATAATATATGGAAGCTTTATAAGCAGTAGATTAATATAACAAATTCACATGAATAAGCAGATGAGTAGATATCCACTTTGGAAAATATGTAGTATTTACAATTATGAAAAATATATTAACATGTAAATAATTTTTTTTTTATCACAACCAAAATGCATTATACAGTGCAGTTCCCTGCAATTTTCTCATTATTGGTTTTTCCTTACCATACATGTAGTCTAGGGCATATAAATATTAGTCTGTTTCAATGATGATTAGGCTTCATTCTATTCTCAAGCTGATTGTTTATATTAGGACTACAGATAACTACATGAATTTTGATAACTAATTTTCACATTGAAAAATTAAGATACCCAAAAAAGCTGATTATAATATGCATACACTTTATTTTGTACTTTCTATAGTTCTTGTTTATATAATGTTAAAAGTTAATAAACGTTTCTTTGCTGCTGGATTACAATACATTTTTATAAAATTATGTGTATTTATGTATATGCAATAAACTATGCAATATTTCACTTTGTCTTACTGCCACGTATGTTTTAGCACACCAGAACTGAAGATTCAAGATGTTTCACAAGATATATAGAGGAAAATAATCTCAACAACAGCAAGGCTATGGTTAGTCATGTTAATGTCAAACATCCTGAAGAAGTGTGGTTTGAAGTTTGTCAGGTCACCTTAGTCACTCAAGTGACCTATTGCTATCTGTTTTTGTCCATTGTGATGCATTGTGCATTTAACATTTGAACATTTTCAGCTTCTCTGAAATGACTGAACCAATTCCAACCAATAGCAACTATAGGTGAAGGGAAACAAATATTTTGAATTTCATGGTCCCTCCCCTCTTTTGTGCCTGACCCATCCAAATTAATGTAATCTTTCAAATCTTCTTTTACTCCTGGACATCAATCAGTCAAACTGTTAGCATGACTGTAATAAGCATTGAGCCCTTCACCAAAATTGTGAAATTCATGGCTTCAGGGCCAGGGACTCTGGTGTTAGGGTGGGGCTCTATAGATCATTTAGTGAAATGCATAAATTCTTCAAATTAAAAAGCTTTTCTCCACAATATATTTACTAGAAGTAGACAAACTAAGTGCATAAATATGATGAGCAAGGGTGCTTCTTCCAAAATTTTGAAATTCATGGCCCCTGGGTCAGGGTTTCTGGAGTTTGGATGGAGCTCTATTGATTATATAGTGAAATGCATTATTTCTTTGAAAATCTTTTTCTCTGCTCTTAGGTATTTAGAATACAAACAAAGTGAATGGTTATAATGAACAAAAGTGCTTCTTCCAAAATTATATGAAATCCATGGCCCCTGGGTGAGGGGTTCTGGTGTTAAGGTGGGCCTCTATTGATCATATAGTGAAAATGCATTAAGTAAAGGAGAAAGGCCGAAAACTGTCCATTCTGTGAGAGAAAGAACTAATCGAGGGCCGTAGGCCCGAGATTAGTTCTTTCTCTCACAGAATGGACAGATTGAGGCCTTTCTCCTACTTAAAACATGATTTCCTTTGTTTTGAAAATAAAATATAAAATGTACAAAATGACAGGTAGCAGACATACAATGGCAAGTTCATTGTTTACGGAATGGACAGTCACAGGTAAGCTAGGGATGCAGAGCAATTTGTTGAATAGCCATTGTGTTTCCAGATGCAAATAACAAAAGGTTTTTGTCTTAAGAATGGACAGTTACAGGTGGATTTTGTGGGATACTAGTATTTATACAAGTATGCGATGCTTCAAAATCAGTTTACAGTTTGCGTTGTAAAGGCATACATGTTTTCCTGTAATGGAGAGAGTATATGACAGAATCAAAATCTTATAAACCAAAATATGCACAAAATTAGTGATATTTGGATCTGGAAACAGAAAAGGAAGAGTAAAAGAAATATTAGCCAAATTTTGACCCAAAAATGAACTTCGACGACAGATATAGATGATCAAATTCAAATCAAACCTGGAAATGTTTTATTTGAATTCTATTTTTGGGGATATATTAACTGCAGCAGTGTAATGGTGAGATGCAAATTGTGTTCTGAGTGCTGGATTAGCCATGAGCCAATCTTCGACCTGAAATGTTTTTCAAATCAAATCGGGAAATGTTTCATTTTTATTTATTTTCTACCGAAATATTAACTGCAGCAGTGTAGTGTTCATAGTGCAAACTGTTTTCTGGGTGGAGGATTTAATACTAGACGTACTTCTATCTGAAAATGAATTCTCCCCGAGGGAATGATTTTTCCGAAATTTAAATCAAATGTGAATTCGAAATTGTGTCATTTGAATTCAAGTTTTGTGAAAATTAAGTTTTGGGTATTGAAATAATGTGCATCATTCATGGATTTAAAAGAGTGAAATCGAGCGGATGCTGTGTAGACATTGTGTTCTGGAATAACTTTGGTCTCCGCGTTCTTTTTGTTATTTACATGTAAATTAAAAAGTATTTAGTATATTTGTTTTTGTTTCCCTCTTGAACACATTCCAAAGTTTACCTGTAACTCTCCATTCTCTTTGTTTTAACTGTCCATTCTTTTTGAAAAAAACTGTCCATTCTTAAAAGAATGGACAGTTTTCCAAAAAGAATGGACACTTACAGGTAACTTAATGGATTGTTTGAGGAGTTAGCTCAACATTAAGCTATAGAATGGACAATACAAACAAAAGGTTTACGTCACAATCATGTTTTAATTCTTTGAAAATGTTCTGCTCTTTAGTATTTAGCAGAGAAACTAAATGCATGGTATGATGGCTTAATGATGGCTTAATAGAGTGCTTCTTCCAAAATTGTGAAATTCCTGGCCTTTGAGACAGGGGTTCTGGAGTTTGGGTGAGGCTCTATTATTATCATATATTGGAATATATTCTGCTTTAAGAGGAGTTATTCTCCCTTGTAATTCAAATATGATCATTCATTAATGCAAATAATGTAATTGATGGATAAATTAGATGAAAGAATTATACAAGATTTTTTTAAATATATACAATATGCAAAATACGTTCATACAATGTAGTTTTAGTAGTCATTTAGACTAGTAAATAATAGATGAATTAAATTGAGAAAAAAAACCCTGATATATGTATATCAAATATTATTCAAAGACCACAAGAGGCCAATATGGTGTAGGAATCTGCTGAGTGTTCCATGTAAATCTCTTGTTATGTTTGGTGATAGTGGTAGGGTAAAAGATAGGGCAAGTTTCTGAGTTGTTGCTGATTACCAGACTACTATTTTGTTGAACTTTTTTCTCTCTTTTTGAGTTATTTATTTTGTGCTTTTATACAAATATTTATAATTCAACAGATCCTTTACAGGGTTGTATTCAGATGACTGTTAAGGCCCTTGGGCCCTCTGTATAAATTAATGCTTATGGGCCACAATAGGGGATAAAAAATTACCCGAATCACTAGCATCTATCAACTGAGCTACAGCTATCTGGCCCTACAACCGTAAATGGAGAATAGACTTGTCATGAGTCAAAATTTTTATCCTTTATATCTGGCATTTTATTTCTAATATATGTTTTAAAAAACTTTATATTTGTATAATATTTATAAATACAAACATATGATGAAAATTTTATTTGATTATCAAAATTATTTCAAAAGTTCTATTCATTTGAAATTTTGACTTAAGTCTGTTCTCAGTGTATGGTCTTGCAGCTGGACACCAGCCATCAAACCTGCCACAGTATTAATATGCAGACTTTGTCATGTTGTTTGAATATTTTTTTTTTCAACTTTTTTACCCTGGAATTAGGGTGGGGCTAAGATAGGGGATCAAATTTACATAATGCATGTATACAGGGAAAAATCTCTAGAACAGCAGGACTACACCGTGTGTTAGTCTTATTATTATAGAAGCATCCGCATGTTGTGTGGATTCAAGTTTGAATAAGTCAGGACTCCTTAGGCCACAATATGCGGTCAAATTTTTCATGGAAGTAAAAGGAAACTTAGATGTGTCATAATGCCACGAATGTCCCCGCAGGCAACCGCCAAAATTTCAAACACCATATTTAGTTTTAAATTTGTATTCGAACTTGACCTGTATTTTCTGGTAAAATACCTGCATATGCAATTTCAACCTTTTACATACATTCCTACAAAAGTTAGAAAGTGGAAACTGAAAATGAATCACTGGGCCAGAAAAGCTGAAACTTATGTGGAAGCATCCTGGTCTAGTGTAGATTTTAAATTGTTTAAAACTTGACCGCCCTGGGTAGGGTGTGGCCACAATAGGGAATGAAAGTTTACATTGAAATGTAATTAAAAAAATCTTTAAAAATCTTCTCAAGAACCACTGGACCAGAAAAGCTGAAACTTAGGTGGAATCTTCCTCATGTAATATAGATTTTAAATTGTTCAAATCATGCCCCCCAGGGGGTGGGGTGGGGCCAGAATTGGTAAATCAAATTTTACATTGAAATATAAAGGAAAAATCTTTAAAAACCTTCTTTTCAAGAACCACTGAGCCAGAAAAGCTGAAATGTATATGTTAGCTGACTGAGATTATAGATTGTTCAAATTATGATCCCCAGGGGTAGAATTGGGCTACAATAAGTATGACGAAGGGAAAATCTCGTGAAGAACAGCAGGGCCATTTGAAGTTACTCAGATGAGCGTTGTGGCCCATGGGTCTCTTGTTTTCTAAGTTCAAGAGGGCTAACTCTGTCAAAAATCATCGAACCATGACCACATTCGAACTTGATTTGCGTATTCCTATGACGTTTCCATATGTCAAATTTGAGTTGATTGTGTGCAACTGTTGCCGAGATAATGAACGGAAAGTCAGTGATGACAGAATGACGAAATGATGGAACAGGGTAAAACTATATGCTCCCGGCCATTTTATGGCGGGGGCATAAAAACGTGTGGTTAGATACCTATGGCCATTTTGCAAATTAGATCGGAGCTGCGTGTGATGACTTGCAAATTATTCTGTCAATATCCTTTGAGTAAAGAAGAGGTCCATGAGCCACAATGCTCACCTGAGTAACCTTGGTCTTGATTTTCTTCAGAATAATTTTTAAAGATTTTTATTCCCCCGCCATAAAATGGGCGGAGCACTTCCTGTGATCAAACTCAAATTCCCTGCAACCAAGGATGCTTTGTGGCAAGTTTGGTTGAAATTGACCCAGTGGTTCTTCAGAAGAAGTCGAAAATGTGAAAAGTTTACAGAGACAGACGACAGACAGACGCCGAACTCTTAGATCAGAAAAGTTTAATTGAGGCTTCGGCTCAGGTGAGCTAAAAAGTTTAATAGTGCAACGTTTTACACGGAATAGATCACAATTTTAAAATCAGTAGGATGAAAACGAGCCTGTGTCAATGATGAAATGATGAAATCGATGATGAAATATGAAGATAACGAACAGTATTCAATCTCAAAAGTCCAATGAAACGATACAAATTTGGAGCAGAGCAAACACGGACCTCAAAATTTAGAGGTGGGATCAGGTGATGAGTGAGATATCAATTACATAATCTATGGGATATACCCCATGTTTAACAATGTATGGAGAAAATGACTCATTATCAATATGCGTGGGATTTATCCCATTTGAGCAAATTTGTGGGAGAAAAAAATCCCAATAGGAGAAAATATCCCATCTGACACTTTTTTTCTCCCATGGGAGAAAGGGGGGATAGTTGTTAGGACTAAAAATCCCACCATTCTCCCATGGGATTCTCACTTATAGGACTTCATACTAGTATCTTTTAAAAAAGAGATATTTGAGAGTTTAACATGAGACCCGTAGATACTGCTAAGAAATCCCACCAAGTGCTATAATTTATTTTTGGACATCACAATTAGAAATGGTAGTAAAAAGTCTGGACAATGTCGTGTCCGGAGTTAAATGTCGCACTGTTAAAAGAACTTACGACTATAGGACCAAAATCTGAAGTTGATCGTAAAATCTTACAAAACAAACGATTCTGTTTAAAATTTCTTACATAAAAATATCTTACTAATAGCTTTTAAGAAAAGATAAAAAGCATTACAAAATCATAGTAATAAAGTCACTCACAAAATTACAGATCGTGGTCTTCGTTGTAAAATCTTATTTAAAATGGCCCTGGTGATCTTAACTTTTAGGGGGATGATGTTAACTTTTAGGAAGATGAAAACGTGCGAAGTTACAAAGGCGAAGTGAAAGCAGATATTCTCATTTCTCAATAAAATGTTTCCAAAGTTAATTATTTTGCAAATACAGCTTGAATGTTAACAAGACACCCCCTCTCTCTTCCATGAAACAATGATGATAACTATCATTGTTTAGGATCGCAAAATTGAATGTCACTCCTCTACAATATAATAACTAAGTGCACAGAAACTTAATTAACTGTTATAGATTATCAATGTTTAAATATTTCAAACTGTTTGCAGGAGTTAGCGGTGGTGATATTTTTTCAGCTTTGATGCATCAATGGTGTGTCCATTCTCTTTGAAACTTTCGGGATAGCGTGATTATACTGTAAACTGCACACATATTGAGTGATAATGACATGGAAACGCATTATCGGCTGCGTCTTTGTGGAGATGAATTATTCTGTGCCGATTTTATCGAGGCTGACCGAATTCTAACACAACGTTCATGATCCTATGTTTTTGTCATCTTACTTTACCGTGACAGAATCGTGCCAACTTTAAACACTCTTAATAAATCTTCTGTAGACAGAGAATCAAAGTACATCGCTCACTTGATCCAAAGAACCTTTTTGTCGATCTGTCTTCAGAAAATTTTTTTTCTACATTAAATTTAATTTATCCTTCGAGTTCAGACTATTATCAATTTATCTTGGACACAACATGTTTTTTTTTTCCATTTCTCCTTTAAAAAGACACACAAAACAAAATAAATACAATTTGTAAAAACGTCGCTATCTAAAATATCGCACAATTGTAAAATTAATAATTTTTACAATATATTATATCTCTGTTCATGTTATACTTTACAAAAATATTTCATTTATTTTTGCATTATCCCTAAAATTCACTTGAATTGGCTGTTTCCCTTGTGGAACAAGGGATCTAAACTATTTCTGTTTGGGTTTACAGTTGTAGATATATTCATGCAGTTTCCTGTAGCATATTGCGCAGCTCTTTGGATTGTTGCATTTTTATTATTCATTAATAATGAAGAATAAATTAACCAGGGACCTTGGGATGATATAACTGTCAATTAATGATTAATAATTCAGGATCAATTAAAGACCCATGCCATAACGCTCGTCTGAGTCGCTTTTTTCTTCCACAGACATGAATATATATATATGTATACATAATTATAAAAGAGATGGCTGACTGGAATCCTTTATTTCACTAAAGTGAAGCCTGTAGTCAAAGTGAATTTTTACAGACGACAGAAGGACAAATACTGGATACTTCTCAGTGAAATTAATTGACGAGCCCTCGGCTCAGGTGAGCTTTAAGAAAAAAATCGTACTTGAGTCGATTATGATATTGCGTTTCTGCCATGATACCCTAGCCATAATCTGGTGTGGCCCTTTATATTTACCTGAATCAGCCACCAAGTAATTGTTCAATCATATAAGACATTATGATGATTAAATCCTGAGATTGTTTATGAAATCTAAAGAATCTCTTTGGGTTAACAATAGGTACTTATAAAAAAAGTATACACAAACTTAAAAATCCGTAAAAATGATATCGAGCTCGCAGATATCATCCATGCCCCCTTCCCCCCCCCTTCTTCTCAATACTTCACGGTGTGCCTCGATTTGACTACCACATAAGTTTAGCACTATAAAAATACCTCCCTCAAAAGAAGGATACACAAAGGAGAAGGATTGATAAATGCCAAATTTGGCCCCATATTGGATATAAAAATCAAAACACAGCTTAAATTGGGAAAGTTTGCAATTAAGCAATTTAATTCTTGCTTGTTTCAAAACCAGCATCAATTCTAATTAACGGAGGTAATAATAGGGTGACAAAGTATAATATTTTACCGAATTTCCTCAGTTCTGACGGAATTTTGCCAAATTTGAGACACTTTTCGCTTCGGAAAACATAGAGCACAAGCTTGCCTACCTGAGATATCCAAATAAAAGATGCATCTAATACAAATGCATATATATCATGTATGCTCTGTGTTTTCTGAAAAGAAATGTGCTTTACAATTTATGAAAATTTGAATAAAGATAAGAAAATTCGGAAATTGGCATACTTTGTTACCTCTGTGAATCCATCATCAAGAATCAATACTCCTTTTGTTACAGATATGATTACGGTTTTTGATGACAAACTATTGCACACAAAACCGGGGGTGGGGAGTGGGGGGCAAAAAGGGGTCTTGTCCTTTAGCTTGGTTGAATCCATTCTCTAAGATTAAGGTTGATGGACAAGGGGATAATTAGATGATCATGTCTGGGCCATAACTTTAGAAACCTTGCAATAAATTCAAACCTGTTGCTGTTTATGATCTAAAGGTAATGCTTTTTTAAACTTGATGTCCCGGAGTGAGTTATCTTTTCAATTTTTTTTTTTACATGTAAAAGGCTGGCGATCATCTGACATTCACTAAAAAATTATTTTAGTATTTTTTTTTTGTAGAACCCACTGTAAATATTTCCTAGAAGAATAATTCATTATACATGTAAAATAAACAAATAAAAAAAATCTGATGAAGTTGGGGTGTATATTAGCGGTAGGGGAGGCCGTGTCATTTTCACAAGCATCTATGGATAGTCAATATATATAAATGTTATGTAACGATGAAAATGCTTGTTACACACACCCACACCACACACACTTTTCTATATATGACAAGGTTTGAGGAGGCTAATATGACCTAGCTCTTTTGAATGAATTAATGAAAAACAATTACTTTTTATCATTATTGATAGAACAAGCTTCAAAATAAGATTATCAAATTAAATAGGTAAAAAAAAAATAGTTTTAGATTTTAGGTTTTCATAATTTTCCATAAATGCTGAACAGCACGTACTTATCTTTACTAAATTAACAAACAAATCTGACATCAGATTGATGTACTGAATTACTGAGTAAATAACTGTATTAGTTTTGACATGGACATTACCGAAGGTTTTAAAGTTTCATATATTTTTAATTAATATTAATGCTAGTTTTGAAATACAGCTATCATCTTATTTTTAATTACATACTAATATATAATGCTCTTTTTCAGTACTGACTGTTGGACTGTCAGATGGACTGATATCTGTGAGTAAGGAAAAGGATTTTCAAATGTGTACAAATAAGGTATTTTCAATAAAACCAAGTAGACAGTTTCAGTCTGGGGCCTGAACCTTGAACTCTAGGGTCGTGGTTTACATTTTTGTGGTAGAGGGCTCATTGCCTCAGTACCAAGAGAGCCAGAACTTTATATCAATTACTAATTTCTGTTCCCCTTTACTATATACCAGTTCTCATCAGCAGATTTAAATACAACCAACGAAAAGACGTACGAAAAGGGGCAGCAATAGGTCACCTGAGTGACTTGATATGGACTTAAAAACAACATCCATTTTAAATCTTTTAGCAATTTGTACTAAATACTGTGGGAAACAATTTTTAAGGTTCTCAATTTCTTCTTGCGACATTCTTATAGTGTTCGTGAACTGTGAGACAGTAGATTAAAATCCACTGCGCTACAATATATATCCTCAAATAATCAATACCGACAACCCTTTATTACCCACTAATCATAGCTAAAACAATTAGCTAATATCTCAACACGAACCAGCTCCATAACGTTTACGTTCCATCCAGAAGCTGACTCCTGGCTATAACATTTCCGTATTGGATGCTCCCTGTGGAGACTCCCAGAAATGGCGGAAAGTGGATAGCTGTTGGGCAGACGTTAGTACACAATTAACTCTGATTACAGCGGATAACAGAGACAAGACTAAGATACTTAATGTACACTAGTGCGTATTGTTGTAGAGAGCGGGGATGTTGACTTGTTGTTAGTTTGTGCCTTGGAGCTCTTTACCATGAAGAATTGGTGAGTACGTCAAAGTTTTTATTAAAGTAATTTTGTTTTGAATTGTTAATATATCATGATAGTTTAATTTACTGTTCTTGCGTGTATCGTTACTCTAGAATTGAGAAACATGCCAAATTTACACTTTTTTCTACAAAATGTTTTAGTAAAAAATTATAATTATGCTGCTCTATTATGAAACATGGCAGCTCGGAATGAATTCTTTTATTAGTCTGGGGAAATACACAACCAGATGACGTGAGATTATAAAGATTACCTTATTTAAAATCTTTGCGTATATGAAAAATTTCTTGTTTTGGTTTTATTGAGCAGGTTTCCTGTTTACAAGGCCTAATCAGGATTATTCGTTAAACTCATATTCACATAAAGTTTTTTTTTCATTTAAAATCTAATGTAGGGCTCTTTTTAAAAGCACATTTAAGTATAATCAATAGCAATATTTCTTAATAAGACTAGGATTTTGGAACAGGCAATTGTTGTTTTAGGTCCAAAAAATGGATATCATAGCCCTTGAAAGATCGTATAAGTTCCCCAAAGGGTTTACATCTACTACTTCTATTAACAGATTTTGCAACCAATATGAAATATTCATCATGTTTTGTAAATGCAATGTATTTTCAATATATTTTTATCATTTTGTACTAGCAATACTTTGTTCAGTGAATGCACCCGGGGGAATCTGTTGTTTGTCTTTATTCATGTTCGAAATCTCTTTCAAAATTAAGATTCTGGTGCAAATAAACCTTTACGTATACAGTTACTTCCAAAAACTATTGCAATCATACTGACTTTCGTAATTTACATCCAGAGTTGATTTCATATGAAAAATTACAGGTAGTATCTGTACACTCTCCAAATGACTTTGTATCATTGAATTAAGGAGGGATTCAAATGTTCAAATTATATTTGCCTAAATGTATCAAATATTCAGAAATTTGCCAGACGTATACGTCATTCCGAATTTCCTCTGTTCTTTATACACGTTAGTCTAATTGAGATGTTAGGAATTTGAAAAAAACAATTCTTTTTATCATTCTCGCAAATGTATACCTTGACATAGAAAAGGGAAACTGAATTTAAGATCTAGTAAGCATCACATGATTTGCAACAGTAATTGAAGGAAAGATGATAATGACCTTGACCAGGCCCAAAGACCATAAACTGAGGGAAAAAAACTTAAGTCAAAATGTTGATTTATAATATTTTTAGTTTTAATTTAACATATTTGCTAAAAGTATGCAATTTTGTATAACATTAAAATGCAATTATATGGCGAAAATTTTGTTTCATTATCAAAATTATTTCAAAAGTCATATTGGTTTGAAATATTGACTTAAGTCTGTTCTCGGTTTATGCTCTTGGGGCCTGACCTTGATGCTAAAATCAAACGGCCAAATTTAATCTACCGGTAATAGATACTACGTCTTAATATTATATTGGCTCCTCAAATCCATGAAAATGTGAATAAATTTTAAATACAATAAACATGCAAAGAATCCCTCCTTAAAAGAATCATTCACTTTAAAGATTTGCACTTTTATGTAAGGAATGCGAGCGAGATCAAAGATTTCCTCCATACTTTTATGCAACATAAAATCATATTGAGAAATATTTTCAGGAAATTCAGATTTTATGGATGAATGGGTACCATGGCAACGCGTCTCAAAGTTTGAAAATGCAAATATTTGGACAATTTCGAAATTTTCCTGCAAATTTTTGTGAAAATGTTGATTTAAGACCATTGCTAAAACATGAGGTTTAAAACTTGAAGTTCATGTTTCATATTTACCAAAAACTTCATGGGGAATGTAGCCAATTACTTGTTACTTAGGGAGGGGGTCCACATTTCCACATTTTTCATTGAATGTTCAGATTTTTGCAGCATTTATTATTGATAGTAATTAGTCTATATACAAATTACAGAAAGTCTTTTTAAATTGAAATGATTGTAATAATATCGTTGTTATGGAAATAGAACCATAAAAAGAATAGAAACAAGTAATTTGTTTTGCCTTGTCTTATATAGTGGATAACATCAACTTATGAATCATGATTCATTGAAAATTGTTGTTTCAAAAAGCGAAGTGTCTGTGTAAAAATCTCAGTTTAGAGCGTTGCTATGGAAATAAGATGAAAATGTCTATTAATGTTGGTATGATAACATTTCTTTATTTGGATATTTACCTTTCTAGGAAAAATCTCTATACTTTTTTAAATGGTAATTTATAAAATCAATAAACTAGCTATCCATTCAATCTAGTAATAAGACTCAATCTAAATGCAAGAAGGAATTACAAGATACAAAGAAATACTGAAATTTATTTCATTCTTACCACAAATACTGGTTAGTAACCAAGGAAACCATGTTGTGTTCTTAAATTCAATCAAGTATTGAATTTTTATGATAAAATCTGATAATTGGGCATCATTTCTGAACATTTTAAATAAAAGTCATTGCTGAAAATGGCATGTAAATTTGCAGTTTCTAATAGCAAAATCTGCATGAATCTTGTGAATCATTGAAATATTATCTTTATGACATGAATGCTTATTAGAAAAAATAAAGAACTTTTTCAAACATCCCTTTTCAGTGACACAACTTAATGTAAGTTTAATCATAAAAAATAAGTAGATTCTGATGATCTTTTTGTTTTTTAGAATTTGATAGATAATTTGTACATTTTAATGTAAAATTCCTTGCTTAAAGCCCGGTTACCATGGCAACAGAATACATATAAGCAAATTGCTTATGTGTTGATACATGCACCTCTTCAGGATTGTAAGATGTTTTGTTACTATATGAATAGAATGAGACAAAAAAAAAATTAAATAAGATAGGCCTATTATATCTTAAACAATAAGACACTTCATTCCTACACCTGTGTATGTGGTCATTTACATTCTTTGTTCCCGCGTGAAGCCATATTAAGGAATCAAAATAGATAAATTTTTCTTTTTTTTCAACGATTCCATAGATACTGTAACCAAATTAACATTTAATTTTTGAAGGAGGTAGAAGGCTACATTTGTATGAATTTCATGAAAATCTGTTTATGTGTGTCAGAAAGTTACTGAGAATGGCTCTTGAAATGTGTTGGTCCTTCATCTTGTTCTATTTGTAAAGAAACAGTTAAGATTGTTTGACGGCCTTAGGCCATCATTAAAAATATCTTTGTTTCCCCTAACCCGACCCTAAAATTTCAAGTTGAGTAGGTAGGTAGGTAATTTTTTTTTATGACAGCAGTTTTGAAAATACATTCTGAAAATTGAATAATATATCTATAAATAAGAAAGAACAAAAGAAACCGATTTTAAACCTAATACATGTATCATACAAATGAAATTTAAAAGCAACATGTATGGTAAATTAATTCACAAATATTATTCATTTGAACTTGTGAAATATCTCGGGCCAGCGTAAATTTATTGAAATTGAATTTTTACAAAGAAAAAAAACGTTGGCCCATGCAGTGTCACAGTATACATGTAGATGTTGGCACGATAAAGATCCCTTACTGATGCTTTATGATCAAGGGCCATACGTGCCGAGAAAAAGTCTAAATTAGGAGCCCTCCACCAGGCAGGTGTTCAATTGTCGACCCAGCGATTTTTAAAGGTATTTTAAAGCAAGAAGCAACCTATTTTCAATGGCCCAACTAAAGGAAAGAAAAATACACTGGACGTCTCAGGAAGCCGTACCATAAGCCAACTTTAAAAATTTTAACACTATTTGAAAAGAGAGTACCTGTATAGACAATATTTAATTCAACCAAACCATATCTAAAATGATTAAAGTTATATCTAATGTTATAGTTACGAAGTTTACCCCATAAATAAAAGGAATGAAGAAACGACATCCGAATTATATTTATCAAGAAATAATTATACAAAGATATATTTACAAATCCCATGGTCCTATATAGTAAAAATAGAATCATACATGAAGTGTTTTTTAGATCGAAACGAATGAAATGCAGTGAAATTTATTGATATGCATACACAAAGTGGGCCCCTCATCTGCATGCTCATGAGGCAGGCTTTGTCATGCTTACTACGTACGTTAATTTTAGAAGACACATTTGTAAATGCCATGTTAACACTCCTTAGTCATGGTATATTTAATTCACAAAATGTTTCAAGAGTGTAGGACTCTAATAAGTTAAAGACTGCGATTGATACATCGCCGTTGTTTTATAACACTAAATAACCCTCTGTGGTAACATGTTGTGGGCGCCAAATGAGAGTAAAACAAAAGCCGCCATTCTGATAAAAAACGAATTTTGATGAAATTGTATTTTATAAAGTTGATAAACAATAAAAAATAAATATTTGAATAATCTTATTAAAAAAACTTTTCAGTCGGCACGATTTAAGTGGGTCGGTCGCGTTAGGGGAAACAAACCTATTTTTTATTTTGGCTTATTCAACAGAGAGATACCTGACGCTTCTTACCTGGTATCGTATTTAAAAGTATAACTTATTATACTATTCATTATACCTCTACTGATTTTTCACAATACAAATTACTTTATTCCTATAACTATCTGTTCCACAAAAAAGCAGATGGTCGAGGACAAGCATTAAATACTCTTTTTACTCGATACAGGTATTCTCTTCTGCACTGAGCTGCGATGGATTTCTATTCTATATACATTTGATAAATTTGATACCTTAGAATATACTCAATTTAATGTATATGCTTTTATTCCGTCTGTACTACATGTATCAGTGTTTGTCCGGATTATTATGCTGCAATGTAGCCCTTATTTGTGCTAAAAATATTTACAATTACATGTAACAGATATTTTTGAAATTCAGATCTCAGGCTTTTAAACAGTTGGGCTGCATATCAGTAACTGCACTCCACTGGATTTCATTTATATAATATAATTAATTTAAATAATTTATATAATTTTATATCCTACATTAAAGTTATTTTAAAGTTTTTATTATATCCACGAAAATATGTACAGTTGTATAAAAAAAAAAAAAAGGAAAAA